CAGAAAAGGTAAATCCATAGACAGAAAGCAGACTAGTGGCTACCAGGGGTTGGGGGAGGGACACAGGGACTACTTAATGGGTGTCAGGGTGTCCCTTTGGGATAGTGAAAACATTTTGGAGCTTGATAGAGGTCGTAGCTGCACAACACTGTGACTCCACTAAGTGCCACTGAATTGTACACTTAAAAATTGTACACTCCAATTTTGGCATGTGACCCTCACCTCAATTAAAATTTTTAAAGGAAAAAAAGCATATATTAGATTTTTTTCTAGCAGATAGGATAAATATGTTCTGACTAGCTTCAGTTAGAAGGAAGGACCTAATGGAAAAACACTGATTCCTCAGAAACTTCCAGAAAGAGCAGGACCACCAGGCCTGAGGGAGCTGGAGGCAGGTGGAGTGCAGCCCTGGCCCCAGGCTAGCTCCAATCCTTCCTCTAATCATCACTGTCCCTGGGGGACAGAGCATCTGATTGGCCAAGCTGTGTCCCATGCCTCCATGCTCCCCAAGACATGTGGTCTGGGTTTGAGATCATAGCCCTCCCCAAAACCACAGAGTGAGGGAGGGGTCATTGAAAGAGGAGAAGAAGGGATATGAGGCAGAATGAGACAGTAGGTGTCACCACAAACACCCCTTGGCTCAGCCCGTACATACTTTCAATAGCATGTGTCTGGTCAATGTTTGTGAGGCATCTCCCCAGCTGGCCCTGCCTGGAGCTCATAGTCATGAGGGAAGATGGTCATGACTTGACCCCTGCCAGTGGGGAGAATGCCATGCAATGGAGAACAGAGGATACCAGGGAAGGTTTTCTGTCTGACTCTTTGTAATCCAGGCAGAGATGGGAGCACCACACCCTCCTTAGGTCTCTGCAGCTATTTGGAGTCACCTCTGTCTTATTGCTCATCACACTGGTGTCACTGTCTCTTTGTATACATCACTCATTGGACCGTAAGCCCTGATCTTCACAGAGCTCAGAAATAACACAGGGACTGAGGCATGAAAAGAAAAGAAAAGAAAAGAGGGAAGGAAGGAAGGAAGGAAGGAAGGAAGGAAGGAAGGAAGGAAGGAAGGAAGGAGAAAAGGAAGGAGGAAAGGGAGGGAGAGGGAAGGAGGGAAGGAAGGAGGACACACAGATATACTGAACACATTAGATTCTAGTTTATGTCCCACTTCCTTTTTCATAAAGGGTCTTTAAAACTAACTTTTGTGTGGCCATCTTGAACTCCACATTGGGGGTGGGGAGTGAGGTGACTTTCCTACAGGGTGACAGCTGATAGCCAGCCTTTCAATAAATCATAGCAGGGAGCTGGGCCTGTCATCTGCCAGAGCCCTCTGCTTCCAACAGGACAATGGCCACACGTTTGACCCCAGATGGTGGCTGTTTCCATGCCCAAAGTTCTTCTCCCTGGGTGGCTTGTTTTCATATCTCATCAACCTTGCAACCAAGACAGTTTTCTTGGATAAACACCAAGATGTTGGCAGTGGCTGTCTCTGAGTTGAGGGATTCAAGGTAACCTCTTCTCTTGTTTATTTGAATGTTCTCATTTTTGTTTCAACAAAATGATGGTGGATTAATTTCAAAATAAAGAAAATCAAATCAATGATTTCATGAAAGTGAGCTCCTTTCTCATGCCACTGTTTAAGCTCACTTTCTCTTGCTTGGTCTTCTCCATAAAGCCACGGAGAAGGGGGAGGATAATCCCTTGCCCCTTCAGAGAGAACCACAGACAGGAACTCGGGCCTGGGGTATAGGTGAGCATCAGAGAGGCTGAGGGAAGGAAGGGCCCAATATCACAAAGCTATAAACGGCAGAGCAGCCAAGTCATACTCTGTCTAACTTCAAAACTCATGTTGTCTCTCCACCCCTCTGCCTGACATTCAGCATTGGGAGGAGGATTTGTTCAGCTAGACAGGCTCAGCCTTGGCCCAGCCTCAGACCAGGGCTCGGCTCTTTGTTCTATTGCCTCACCAGTCGCTAAAATATTTACATAGTCCCAGAAATCAGAAAAATGACTTTCGCTACTGCTCCTGTTACTCCTGGTAGTAGTAGCAGTAGTAATATTGCAGGCTCCACTTTGGAAGAGCTTACTATATATCTGGCACTGTGTTAGGCTTTCCTTACTTTGTGTGTAGACTCATTTAATGCTCATAAAAATGCTGTGAATTAGGGAAATAGTTTTATCCCATTTTATGGACAGGAAAGTTAAGGCTTAAAAAGATGAAATACCTTATCCAAAGTGACACAACAGAGCTCAGCCCCAGCTCTGCTCTGCCCCCAGCCCAAATATCATGTTGTACTAGTGCTAGTTAGCATTCAAAGGTTGCAATTCTGCAGACAAATAAACCTGGAAGATGGGGAGGTGGAAGCTCTAGGATATGGTTCTTGATTTTTCCTTTCACTGAAAAGGAGGAGAAAGAGGAGGAGAAGCAGAGGAGCTGCTGGCACAGAGCTTCAGCTCTGTCCCCTTGCCCACAGCAGATCCCTTGCAGACTCAACTTGAGTTTCGCCCACACAAAAGTGTGCCATCTCAGTTTGGGTTGGTGCGGAGGATGGGTCATCTTCTCTCTCCCCAGTGCAAATGCAAAATGTCAGTTTGCATTGAAAATAAAAGTCCTGAGGCACCAGCCTTTGTCCCCACTGCCCCCACCCCCACTCCTGCATTTCATTTTCTTTGTTTTTATTTCTTTTAAGGCTACAAAAGGATAAGAAAAATTTTGCAGAGTGGTTGCCAGCTATTAGGATCCACCTGCTAAATTGCGGTCTACCCCCTAGGTACCCCGTCTGGCTCCATGGCAGGTGTAGCTTGCAGCTGTAGCCCATTTCACCCAGCATGGGACAGATGGAGGGGATGCAGCCATCACAGCGGGATAGACTTTTTAAAAAATACACGACCAGACCTTCATCAGGGCCTGGTAGGGAAATGTGGCATTGATGCAAAGTATGCCAAGTTAGCAGGTGTCTGCTCTGCTGTATTGCATGAGCAATAGTGGGATTCCTTTTGGGGAGGATGGGGGGTGGTTGGCATCCCCTGCCACACAGGCAGATCATTTTGCATCTGAGTTGTTTTGAAGCAACTACAGTAGATTTTACTTGGGGAAGCACTGAGGGGAAATGGCACCGGAGTTTTAATGACCTGAGTGGAATCTGGGCTTCTCTAATTATGCGTTGTGCGACAGCATGAGGCAGGCATTCTGAGATCCACAATTCCTCCTCTTTTAAATGTGACTGTGTCAGAGTCTATGAGAGTTCACCAAACATCCACATGCTCCCTCACATTTCCTAGTTTTCTCACCATAGTTGTGTGACCCTCACCCTTATTTGTGGAATATAAGGGAAGAGACCCATCTTTCCTCAGCCCAAGGCAATTAAGTGTGCAAGCTTGAAGGTCAATGCCATGATTAAAAGGTAATGGAGAGAGGCCTGGTCCACATCAGGCATTACATGGATTTACTTGTTATGGCAGCTACAATATGAAGTAATCCTTGGCAGGGCTGTGGGAGGGGCGGTGGATTATAGACAAGGCAGGTACAACATCTAGTACATAGTAGATGCTCCATCAAAATGGCAGGCTTTCCTTGAGCTGGGTAGGGCTATAGAAGCGTCTACAAGCAGAGGTCCTCAAGCAGACCAGACAGAGAGCACTGGGTGATTTCTCTCTCCTGTGACATCACATTCATGTCAAATCTCTGACAAACTAGATTTGAGAATCTTGAGGTACAAGGAAGAAGGAAAAGGTCACAACTTGGCTCTTTCATTTAACCCCTTGCCTCATGAAAAACTTTTTCTAGAGTTAGTATTTCTTGAGAGAGTGACTGGGGCAATATCTGATCTTCAAGGTGCCATGCCCTTCTCTTGTAATCTTTCCAACCATAATCAATAATGGGGATAGCAAGGACTGAGGGGTCAACAGGCCTGTATGTGATATCTAGACCTCCTACTTGCCTCTTTTGTGCTTGGGAAAGTTATAACACCTCTCTATGCTTAATTAAGCCTATAAAATGGTGGTTTTCATACCTTCTATTAAACCAATAGAATGTATGATTCATTGATAGCTAGATAGAACCAATAAGATGTATGATACATAGATAGACGGGGAGAGAGAGAGAGAGATCTAGATATCTACTAATATATATATATAGATGGTCCCTGACTTACAATTGTTTGTCTTAGGATTTTTTGACCTTACAGTAGAAACTACTTTGAATCTGTTATCATTAGCTTCATGGCAGAGGGACTTTGCAGATAGGATTGATTTAAAGATCTGAAAATGGAGAGATTATCCTGGATTGTCTGGGTGGGCTCAATAAAATCATAAAAATCTGGGCATCCTGGGTGGCTCAGCAATTTAGCACCACCTTCAGCCCAGGGCGTGATCCTGGAGACCCAGGTTCGAGTCCCACGTCGGGCTCCCTGCATGGAGCCTGCTTCTCCCTCTGCCTGTGTCTCTGCCTGTCTCTCTCTCTCTCTCTCTCTCTGTATGTCTTTCATGAATAAATAATAAAATAAAAAAAATAAGATCACAAAAATCCTCCTAAGAAGGAAGAAAGAAGACAGAATTTGGAAAAGAAGCTATAACAGCAGAAGTAGAAGGGTGTGTTTTGAAGAAGGAGGACGGGTCTAAGGGACAAGGAATGTAGGCAGCCTCCAGAATTTGGAAGATCAAGGAAATGAGATCTTCTCTGGAGCCTCCAGAAGGAACACAGCCTACTGACACCTTGATTGTAGACTCCTAAGACTTATTTTGGGACATCAGACCTTCAGAACCATAAGACAATAAATTTGTTTTGTTTTAAATCATCAAGTCTGTGGCAATTGTTACAACAGTGATAGGAAGCTTATATAATTGGGGAGGAAAGGTCCTGGACACAGTGAAGTATGACACAATTATAAACAATCATTTGCATTTCTGTTTTTAAAAAAAGATTTTATTTTTTATTATTCATTTGAGAGAGACAGAGAGAACACAAGCAGATGGGAGGGGCAGAGGGAGAGGGAAAAGCAGACTCCCTGATGAGCAGGAGCCCCATGTGGGGCTTAAACTCAGGACCCTGGAATCATGACCTGAGCCAAAGGTAGACACTTAACCAGGCGCCCCAAATTATTTTTATTTCTGCATCTAACTTTGAAAGTTATTATCATGTAAATCCAGTGAACCTGTATAAACGAGTCTCCGACACAGAGACATAGGAAACATAAAAAATTCTCAAGGCGCGCTCTCCTGAGAGAGCTTCAAAATGAGACTCTCTTATGCAATTAGCTCCCCATTAAATCCTCTTCAAAGCATGCCATGAATGTGGTTTGAGGACCACCTTCTCCTGATCAGTTTTCCTACTTGTTAAAAAAAAATGTATGGGACACATCCCAGATCTATTAAGTTGTTGGGCAAATCTATCCTAAGCTGAAGATAGGATGGCAGGCTGACTAATGGCCCCTGAAGACATATAGGTCGTAATCACTGGAAGCTGTGAATATTACTATCTAGAGCAAGAGGGATTTGCAGCTGGGATTATGTTAAGGCTTTTGGGATAGGGAGATTACCCTGGATGATCAGAATGGGATTTAAATGTAAATACATATATCCTTTATTTAAAAAAAAAACTTTTGATTTTATTAAAGAAAGTATAAAATACTGAATTCTACATTTTTAATCACTATTATTTTAAAAATCAGTCAAGTTTCTTCCTATTGCCAGCATGTTTCCCATCATGTCCACATATCCTAAATAATATCTCTCTAAAAAATCTTGAAATCTCCTGTGTAAGTAGGCTGTTATCACTTTCAACATAGACATTAATGATACGATTTCTTGGGTCTCTCCCAATTTTTTTCCATTTCTTTTTGCAGTTTATTTGCTTGTATCTCCCGGCCATTGCCACATGATCCTCTGGGATACTCTGATGTGCTCTTTCCAGAATCTTAATTAACTCACCAGTAATCCTCCAGTCATTTCTAGTGATAAGGGTAACAGACACTCCAGTCCTCCCTGCTCTTCCCGTGTGCCTTACTCTATGCATGTATTTGTTGATGTTCCGGGGGAAGTCATAATTAGAGATGAACACATGTGTTCTTTGAGAGAGAGGTGAAGGGATATTTCCTTGCAGAAGAGGAGAAGGTGATGCTTGAAGCGAGTTGTGTGCCTTGAAGCAAGAGGAAGGAGTCACTTTGCCAGCAGAAGCTGAAACTGGCAAGGAAACAGATTCTTCCCTGAAGCCCCCAGAAGGAAAACATCACTGCCAACACCTTGATTATAGACTCCTGAGATGTAAAACAATACATTTGTGTCATTTTAAGCCATCATTTTGTGGTAATTTGTTACAGCAGCTATAGCAAACTAATACAGTGTCCAATTGACTCTCTGCCATGACCACTCTTATGGAGATAGAGATAGATAGATAGATAGATGATAGATAGATAGATAGATAGATAGATAGATAGATATAATTTGCTGATGACCTCATTTACTTACTAGTACTTTTTTCAAGTCAAATTCACTAAATACAAATCATATGAAGAGTAGTATCCTGATATTACCATTTTAGCAAAGACAATCTTCTCCACACAGGTGTCTAGCCAGAGAATATCAGAGAACAACTTTGAGTTGCAGGCCATGTTTGCTTCAAGAACATATTCCAAGCAAAAGCAATGACAGTTTCTTCTATGACCCTCCAGTTGGCTGGGCAACTGCACCGTTTTTATGCATTTCAAGGCACTCTGGTATTTTGCCTTATTTATTTGGCCCTTAAAGATTTTTTTCTCTTATATCTTTATTTTAATTGCACATGAATGAAAGGTAATCATGAGTCCCAAGAAGGCTGAAAACTGTAAGGAAAATGACTCAAAAGAAGAATGTGCTTTCCCAAAGAAAGGCTCTCTCCTGCCCATTTTCCATTAACTGGCATCTGCTGACACCAACTCCCATCAAGCCACTCCTAGGGGCGGGAATGGGGGGGGGATGAAATTTTTTTCTACATTGTATTTTATGTGCAAACTACAATTTATTTACTTTCAAGTTGGGTATTGACTATAGAGACTTGCTTACGTTATTCAGTTAAAGCAGTTCAGTAAAGGGATAGGTGTTTGCAGGCAGGTCCAGGAATCTGCATCAAGCACCTCATAGAATCTTCTAAATGAAAATTAACATTTGAAAATCATGCCTCAGGGGATAAAAGGGGAACATCTACCCAGGTGGTTCCTTCTCTATCACATTTCCTGGTCTGTTCCCTTTCAACTGCTAAGGGTTTGCATAGAAAAGACAAATTAATATTATTTTCCCGAGCATATTATAAGAATGAGGGCAAAAATGAGATTTCTTTTTAAAAACACATAACCAAATTAAAATGTTTTTTTCTTCATTATCCAGTTGCTCACTGCCTTCCAATAATGTGGTTGATTCCAAGCAGACTGCAAATCAGACAATTTCTGGATATTCAGATTGAAGGCATTCATCAGAGACAGTCCTAAATGGTTGTCAGATTTTGGCAAACCTAGATCAGAGAAAAGAGAAAAGAAATGCATGATTCATCCAGATAGACAGGAAATGTGATAACTACTGCAATCACTGCACACACACATACACTCACACACACACTAGCTTGAGTAATCATAACTAGGAAGAGCAGAGCCTCAACTTGAAGTAACTTTTATTTTTATTCCAGCTTGGTACTTAATTAACTACCATTTTATATTGTTTTCTTTTCCACCTGCACCACTTCCTCTAGAACAGAAATCCTTATAGGGTTATCCCCATATTTCTACCCTGAAGTTTACCCATTCATTCACCAGCTATAGAAACACACATTCCAATATGTTAAGAGTAAAGAGAACAGATGTTACCTCTCTCATTACTATGATGTCATAAATGTGCAAAATGCATCTTGCTGATGCTAAAACATATAATTGGTAACGTGGGATACCTGTGATGACCTTCATTTGAAAGGGACACTTGGGCCAATGGTGAACCATATGGATAGTCCCCAAACCCACGGGCTTTAAGATGAACAAAGAAGGTGGTTGAATGAAAATCACATTATGGGATGAAAAGAGGTGGACTCGAGAAGTATAAAGTGTGAAAGAATAGGCCCCTAATCTAATCTACCTTGCACAGTGTAGGACAGGTGTGGGACAGCTGCTCCACTAATGTTTGTTGAGGTGAATTAAGTCTGTGTACTCCACCCCCTTAGATTTGCATCTTTGATTGTCAGAGGAGTCTTATGAGTCATCCTCGCCTCTCGATATTAATAACCATGTCTTTGGCTTATTAACTTCTGGATATGTTTAGGTGTGTGGGAGAGGGTTGCAAAATCTTTAATATACAGATACAGAGCTCTTGGTTATAAAGGAAGTAATTTAAAAATGATGCAGCAAATACATTCAACTTAATGAATATTTATGGTGTATCTACTATTCCCAAGACATTGAGATGGATACAAAAATGAAGTCAATGATTCTTGTTTTAATAGATCTTAAATACAACAGTGTGTGTACAAGAGGCTAGGGAGGGGGCAGCAAATAGAGGGAATAAGAACAAGTTAAAGTATGGACACAAGGGGCACCTGGGTGGCTCAGTGGTTGAGCATCTGCCTTCAGTTCAGGCCATGTTCCCAGGTCCTAGAATCGAATCCTGCATCAGGCTCCCTGCAGGGAGCCTGCTTCTCCCTCTGTCTCTTTCTCTGTGTCTCTCATGAATAAATGAAATATTTAAAAAAAAGAAATCAGGGGATAAAGATTTTACAAACCATCTTTCCAAGGTTCTCACAGTTAATATGCAAGGAGTTACCTAGAGAGGTTGTTAAAGATCCCCCAGAAATTTGGATTCAGAAGAGCTGGAATCAGGATAGAAGCTCTCCAGGTGCTTCTAGAGCAGATGCCATGCTCTGATGCTTTGGGAAACTCTGTTCTCATTACAAGTTCTTAACAAGATGATACTCGTCTTTCCGATTCATTGCACAAGTTCATCTTAAAACCCAAAGAGAAGGGATTTAAACAATTCATACCATCTGACAAACAATGACAATGTTTTTACTTTTGAAAGTGAGGTGCAAGATGGACTTTGCATGAGAATCGGTCATTTAGACATTGTCGGTTAGTCCAGTCCTGAATAGTGCAACATCTCAGCCCCGAAAGCTAAGTGTGGGTGCAAATCTGTCATTAATGCCAGGTGAGGTGCATTTCTAAGTCTCTACAGACCTAGAGAGTGGCCTGCAGCCAGAGGGAAGGAAGTGAGTATCTTAGAGGAGTTTTGAACAAATGTCATTAATACACAAGGGCTAAAGAATAAGAATTTCTTGGGCGACCTCAGGACCCACTTTTCTAACTAAGAGGTTAAACAAATCTTAGCTATATCAATGCCTGCCCCCCATAAAGCTAGAATGCCAGGAAATGAAGAGAAACATCACTCAGAGTGTCAGGAAATCAATACTGGCTGAAGTCCTAAACAAAATAAATCTTCACTAAGTCCCCTTGTGATTTCAGAATTAACACAATGATTTCATAAATAGGGCAACACAGTGTCAAGAGCAAAGGCCAGTAAACTAATTTGAATTATAGACATCCGTCTTCAAGCCATGGGAGCTGATCGCTGGCAGCCATATTGAAGCGAAGGTAATTAACACAATCCATCTTGCAAGGAGATGGTGTTTTGCAGACTGTTTGAAATTCTGTGAGCATTTCACCCAGACCCCAGTAACCCTTTGAAATATGATGAGCCATGACAGTCAGCACACAGGGGGATCGTTAAGTGAGTGAGAGATGGTAGAGAAACACCACACTTCTTAACTGAGACCATTTCATGGGCGGTTTGCCAGCTATTTGGGAAACTATAAGATAAAGTCCTCTTAAGAGGAGGTATTTATAAAGGGCAGTGCTATGAATCTATAAAAGCACTTTGAAATGATTTAAAATTTTAAAAGTCATGTTATTTGTTAAGCCCTACTGCCTTAAAGCTTAATTCTCTATTTTGAGAAATTTGTCAGAATTTAAGAGACAGGATGATAATGCCATTAGATTTTAGCATTAACAGGAAGTATTTCTCAAGAAAGAATCAGGACCTTTCCTGTATGTAGTCATTGCCATCTATTACTCAGCAAAAAGCATTCTCAGAGAGTAGATCATAGTCATCTCTGTCCAGACAGTGATAACACAGTCAACACTTACTGAGCACAAGTGGTGGTTTTGACATAGCTGGCAAGGCTGAGAAATAATGACTTGACAGTATCTTGAATAAGAAAGAGAAAACATTTAAGAATTATTTTTGAATGACCAATAAAATACAGGGATCGGAGAAATAATTTGAGAAATGGTTACTTACAGGCAATAGTTATCATTAATGAGCATGTGAAGACACTGACTGATATTCCTCCCAGAAACCATCTGAAACAACAGAATTTGTCAGGTTAAGCAAACTAATTATGCATTTCCAATACATGAGATGTTCTTTTAGAGTGACTAAATGCTTATGATGTACTTTAAGAGTTACTATAACAACAATAATAAAGATAGTGTGGTATTGGCCAAAGGAAAGACATGAGGGCCAATGGCAGAGAATGGAAAGACCAGAAGTGAACCCATATGGATACAGTTAACTGAGTCTTATCAGAGGAGCAAAAGTAGTTTGATGGGGAAAGAACAGCCTTCTCAGCAATGATGTTGAAACAATTGTATATCTCCACACAAGAGAAGAAACCTCGACATATACATCACACCTCAACACAAAATTTAACTGTTTCACTCAAAATGAGTCATAGTATGAAATGTAACCACAAAAGTATAAAATTTCTAGAAAAGTTGAAGGAGAAAATCCACGTGCCAGCTGCTTTAAAACCTTGCCCAAAAAGCGTTAAAATTTTGGGGTTTTACCAATTTGATGGTTACTGTTTCACGGGGTGGATTTCTAAAAAATTAATTAATTAATTAATTAATTAATTAATTAGACACAGAGAGAGCACTAGCAGGGGGAGCCAGACAGAGGGAGAGGGAGAAGCAGGCTTCCTGGTTGAGCAGGGAGCCCAAGGTGGGGCTCCATCCCAGGACCCTGGGATCATGACCTGAGCCAAAGTGAGACAATTAGCCGACTGAGCCAACCAGGCATACCAGGCATACCATGTTTTTTAAAAGAATAATTGCCTTATTGTTTTTATTTTCAGAACATGAATCAGTGAAAAAAATTATAAATAGGTACAAAAGGGAAAAGAAAATATCACTAAAAATCTTCTCCATTGACCTAAAGTAGCCGTTATTAAATATCAATGAATACCCTTTTAGACATCTCTTTGTGTGCATTTAAATTTTTTTTAATTGAGACTTAACAAATATACAGTAAAGCATTGAAAGTGCACATCTTGGTTTTGTTTTGTTTTGTTTTTAAACTGAACTCCTGTATTCACTACCCAGATCAAGATATAGAATATTTTCAGCAGTCTCTAACATTTCCTTTGCCATCCTTCCTACTCTTTTCCCCAGAATTAATTACAATTCTTCTTCTTCTTCTTTTTTTAAGAGAGTGAGAGAAGGTTGGAAGGGGCAGAGGAAGTGGGAGAGACAGAATTTTAAGCAGGCTCTGTGCCCAGCGTGGAGCCCCATGCGGGGCTCGATCTCATGACCCTGAGATCATGACCTGAGCCAAAATCAGGAGTCAGACCCTTAACTAACTCACCCACCCAGGAACCCCATCAACTACTATTATTATATTTATAACAGTGGGTTAATTTTGCCTTTCCTTATATTTTACATGTATTGGCAATCATACAGACTCTTGTATCCGAGATTCATCCATGCTGCTACCCATATCAATAATTTTTCTCATAACCAGTCTCTTACTTAAATAAATCTCTTTATTTTCAAATAACTTTAGAGATACAGAGAAGTTGCAAAAAATATCACAGAGGGTTCTCATATACCCCTCACCAAGCATCCCCGAGGATCAGCATCTTACACAACTATGGCATACTGTCATAATGAAGGAATGACATTGGTTCACATTCAACCCACACGTCATTTGGACTTTACAGTTTTTCCCTAACTTAACCACGTTCCATGATGCCTTCCAGGATGTCTCATGATATGTGGTCATGTCTCATTGGGTTCCTCTAGGTTATGACAATTCTTCAGACTATCCTTGGTTTTGATGACCTTGGCAGTTTTGAGAAATCCTGATCATATAATATGTAAAATTTCCCTTAATTTAAGTTTTTCTCTGGTTAGATTGGAGTCCAGAAGACCACAGAGGTGAAGTGCCAGTCTTACCACATCGTATCAAGAGTACATGCTATGAATATAACTCATCCCTGTTGATGTTAACCTTGAACATCTGAGCATCTGAGGTCATGTTTGCTACGTTTCTTGGCCATGAAGTTCCCTTTTTCCCCCTTTCCATCCTCTGTTTTTTGGAAGCAAGTTTCTAAATGCAGCTCACACTCAATGGATGGGGAATTAAGCTCCCTTCTTAAGGGAGAAGGGGAGTATCTACAGGAATTAACTGAAGAGGAACATTTCATTAATAGTCCCGTGAACTAAAAGAGAAGTTTCCATGATCAACTACAGTTGGAAAATACTAAGTTAAATAAAGGTAATCATATTTCTTCACTGTGTTATTTCACTGGGCCTATATTATGCTAATGCATACATGATCCTCTGACTTGGGATATACAATGCAGAATTTAACCATGGGACCTCCCCCACTTTTTGTTCTTTTGGTCCCATTGTGATCTAAAAATACTTAATACTTCTTTTTTTTAAAAAAAGATTTTATTTATCTATTCATGAGAGACCCCCCCACACACACACACACGCACAGAGAGAGAGAGAGAGAGAGAGGCAGAGGGAGAAGCAGGCTCCATGCAGGAACCCAATGCAGGACTCGATCCCAGGACTCCAGGATCACACCCTCGGCCAAAGGCAGGTGCTAAACCGCTGAGCCATGCAGGGATCCCCAATACTTCTTAAACCTCTTAATTATCTAGGATGCTTGTTTTAAAATACAGATTTTCACTAGATCTAAATTAGTATCTCAAGGGTTGGGATCCAGGACTTTGTATTTAAAAACACAACTCTCCCAAGTGATGTGAGGTATTCGACCCTCAAGAGATGAGACCTAAGAGCAAGCAATACTTGCTGACAAGAGCACAAGCACCCCAAAGACCCTGGGTCTGAACCAATTATTTATCCCTGTCTCATTGATTCAACAAATATTGACAAATCCCTGCCACTAGGGACATAGAAGTGAAGGAGACACAATGTCTCTTCTCTCGTGGAGCTCACATTCTTGCAGGAAGAGATAGATCATTAACATTCAAACAAGTGAACATGTAATAGGTCTGGTGGATGAGTGCTCTGAAAAAAAGTAAGGCGAGGTGTGAGTGGTAGAGAGTGATACGCTATTTACACAAGGTTGTTAGGGAATGTCTCTCTGGTGATGTGACATTTGAATAGATTCCAGAAAGAAGTAAGGACCCATGTTATGAGGCTTTCTAGAGAAGATTGTAGTGGGTTGAATAAACAGCAAGTGCAAAGGCCTTGAGGCATGAGTATGAGTACAGTTCTCATAGAAGGGACTTGACCACCACTCCAGAGACTTAGACAAGAAAAGAATAGGAATGGCATGCTGGACAGAGGGTAGAACAGAGAAGAGCCTATCATCAGCCAAGAGTATTATGTGATCTGAGATGCTGAATGGGCTTCCCTGGAACAGATATTTTATGTTAGGATATAAAAGTATAATGAGAAAGATGGAGTCCCAGTGGGGACTCCAAGTTCTCTTACTGGGAGTTCAAGTGCCCTTGAATTCCAAGCAGGGTTACTCAGGTCTTATCCATAATAAGGAGTCACTGAGGATTTAAACAAAGGAGGATGCATAATAAAATACAATTTCTAGCAAGATCCATTGGCTTTTGTACACTTTGTGAGATAACGAGAGGGGCAAGTGATAGAAAAAGGGGCACTTAAGGGGCACAGGTAAATGAATAAATCTTAACCACAGAGCTACTGAAAATGCATTGTGGAATCAGGTAAGGAAATTATCAATCGATTACAGCTTTATTAATTATGAAACATTGCTGCATGAAAGTAAAATCTGAATTACCTTGCACATGCACAGACGATGAAGCACACAGCCAGCAGAATTGCTTGAAAGGAGACCTCTCGCCACAAACTGGTTTCTGATAGGTAAAAGAAAAATAAATGGATTAGAATTCATTGCTGATAATCTTGGAACAACAATACTGTAATAAAATTTCCTCTTTATACACCAAAAAACCCCCCACAAAACAGTTTCAAATGTATGTCAGCTCACGCAATTTGCCATAAGTAACAAGATAAAATTATCAAATGTTGTGCAGATCCATCTATTCATTAGATAATTTTAGCAAATAATAAAATCTTTTCTGTCATTAAGAAATGCTTATGCTACACAAACTGTTTGGGCCTTGCCTTTTACTGTAATGCTGGGGAAAGGCTGTGTGGAATGTATGCTAATGTCAGAAATCTCATTCTGATGATGATGATGATGATGATGCCTTAAATTTGTAGAGTGCCTTATAATTCACAAAGAGCTTTCAGACCTCATTGAATCGACATAACAACCTGTGAGGTAGGAGCCACTGTCATCGCTCTGCACACGAGAAGACCAAGACCGAGGAGATGATGAAATTTGCCCAAGGTCACACAGCTCCAAGGTGTCAGAGCCAAATTTCCAAAACTATGCGTAGCCAGGACACAATTTTTGGCCTGACAGAGACTTGCAACTTTGCATATTGGTAGTCTCTAGAGGGCGAAAAAGGGAACATATATTACGAACTATTTGTCCTCGCAAAACTCTGCTATCCGTAAAATATTTCAGTGCCCTAGAGCCACAGTGGAAATGACAGCAAGTCCTCCAGCAATCATAATCATAGGAGTTAAATCGTGAACCTGAATATTACTCCAGTCACCTAAAAGAAATCAGAGCTGGCTTAAGGATGATCACATAAAGAGCTAAAGGAAAGGATAAACAGACCTCAACTTAATTTCTACCAAATGCTTCAAAAGCTCAATTTTGCAACAGTTGTTTAAAACTTGGAATGACTTTGTGCTGTGAATGTATTTATTTTTGCTATTTATGCTATGAATGAAGATTGAGTCAGCTAACAAAACCTACTTAGTCCATAATGTGGGTGGAGTACTGAAGATTGGCAATGCAAAATATAGCAGTTGTGAATGATGTCACTGCAAATGTACAGTATTTCATGTATACTGTGAATTAAATAAGTTATTGTGGGTTCAGCTGAACACTCAACCATCCTTCTAAAGTGTGTTTGTATTCTTAGCTGACTCTGATTTGATGTGGAATTTGGAAAACATTTCCTCACAGAAACAAGTCCAGCTTGACAAACTGCTAAAATCGTTAGACTCGAACAGTGAACAGAGACTGGTTTAAATTCAAATTCTACAAAGATACGATTGTATGATTTGATACAAAGTATTCACTAGTTCCTTCCTTCAGGACCCATTTCTCTAGGATCCAGTTTGGCCTAGCTTAACTGTCACTTCCTTCAAGAACTCCTCCTTGATTTCCTCAACTCCCCTGTGGCCCTCAGTGGCTCCTTCTCTGTAGCCCCATCATCCCTCATGCATTTGCATCAGCAATCTCATCATAGTGAATTAAAATTGCTGTTTTCTTTCTCCAGATTTCCCCACTAGATTGCAAGCTTACTGAGAATGGTCAGCACCTATCTGCTGTTCTTTGGTGGCGCTGGAGTGAAGGCCTCACTTCTCTTAGTGAGTGGTTCACTTAGAGACCGAGTGCCCTCATTGGCATTTGATCCCCTTCCAACCATTTGGGGTTTCACAGACTTAGCGACAGTGATTGTTTTTTTTTTTTTTCATGTAAATGGGACCCTTCCAGAACCAGTGAAACTGGGTGCCTCTTATCATAACTTGAGAAGGCTGTCATCTCTTATCATAACTCCAGAAGGCCATCACCTCCTTCCTCTGGACTGAAGAATCTGGGAAGTTGCAGGCACTCAGCCACCAAGAACCACCATAGAGTACTAATAGCCTTTTTAAAGAGTAAAGCTGACATAGAAGACAAGAGACCACAGAAGTAGAGACTGGCAGAAATCTGAAAAATCTAGGCCCGGAATTTTCATTAATGAACCGAATACATTCTATTACTGATTCATCCATCTCGGGGTTCCATCCACGGGAACTCAAAACATCTTGACTAGCAGAGATGATGTTGGGCACGCCTCTCTCCTTTGTGGGCCAAACATCGCCTAGACTGCACGATCACAACCCACATGTGAAGGAGACAAAATAGAATCAGATGGAGACCTTGTCCACCCCAGGGCTTCAGAATCAGATCAAGAAGAGGAAAATCCCTTCCATAGCAATAGACTCAGAGCGCTGGGGAAGGATCACAGGGAAGTGTTACCTCCCTCAGCTAGAAGGGGGGAACAGAAAAGACCCTCCCAGGTATTCTTTGATTTGGGCCTTGAAAGAGTGGGGGGGTCTTCTAGGTATAGCAGGGGGGAGACACATTCCCGACACAGCAAAACACATGTGCAAAGACTTACTTGCCCTGTCTACTTATGAGTATGCTTATCTGTAAAATAGAGATAGCACACCTAATCGGTCCAGTTTTGGAGCACCTGCTCTGTACCAGGTGTTTTGTGGGCAGGCTGGAATCCATACACAACCGAGACAATATTGCCCATCCTCAAGTAGTTCACAGTCCAGGGGACCAGACACAGAAATAAATATGCAAGAGCAGTGCAGGAAATGGGGGCGAGAGGGGGAAGGCTGAAAGCTAGGTGAGCACCCAGAAGGGTCACTTAACACTGCCCCCTCCCCAGAAAACAGGGCAGGATCCCTGGAGGAGGTGGCTGTGGATCATCTGGAAACTGTGTAAACAATAAAAGGTGCTTTTTCTGTCATCCCAGCAGCTGGAAGGAAACTCTGAAAGCTGTAACACCTAGTAGCTGACTGGGGAACAGAAGGGAAGGGGGTATATTGGCCTTTGGGAAAGGAAGGATGGTCAGTGAGGTGCATGCTTACGGTTTTGTGAAGACAGATAAAGAGAAGTTTTTTTTTTTCCTGCTTGACCTCAGTCTTTTGTAATCATAATCTCACATACATGTTGAGTCCTTAGGATCCATGACATGGGATGCCAAGTGCTTTCCACGAATTATTTTTGTCATTACAAGGTAGGAACTATGCTATCTCCACTTAGAGATGAAAATGTTGTTTTAGAGAACTGGCTGACCTGCTTCTGAGTTACAGCGAACAAGGAGGGGGCTGGGCTTTGAACCTTGGCAACCAGGACGGAGCCCTGATGCCGCAGCGCTGTGTGCGAACATGATTAATCCGATGTTGGCAAACTGATGGGTGAAGAACATGCCTGTTGGATGTATTTCAGATCTACTCCTGACAGGAAATACCAATACCTTTATATCTTTTGACTTTCCCTTGCCTTAGGCATTGCATTCAAGGGGGTTTTCTTCTTCCTTCCTTTCTTTTTCTTCTTATAGAACATGTCACGTCCTTAGCTAAGTATGAAAAATAAAATCCCAGGCACCTGTGTACGTTATCACCCAACTTTAGCAAAGCTTAACATTTTGCCAAATGTCTTTGGGTTTATATTTTTTTAAAGAAAGAAAATGCTGCAAAGCCAGTCCTTCTGGTGCCTCCGAGATGACACCCCAAAAGCAGGCACCTCCTCTGTGCATGCGTCACCAGGTGCTGCAGCAGCCCAGTCCTCCCCTGCTCCCACAGGCTGATTCCCAAGTGCACCTTAATCATCTTTAACTCATTATTTGGCCCCAAAAGGAAGAATTTTTTGGGTGTGGCAAAGATTAAAAAACAAAACAAACTCACTTATGTTATCCAAAATGTTCCCTGGGAGATGTTCCGAAGCCATCCCATGAGTCTGGAGAGCCCCGTTGTGGGTGTTTTGTCGGGGAGTCTGGGACATGGCAGGGCCGCAGGTGGAGGCTGCTGTCGTCCCCTCCGACTCCCAGGCATCAGTCAGGGGCCAGTCAGGATCTTCTCCTGGAAAAGGAGGGCATGTGGTCAGTGAATCTCCCTGCCAGGTGGCCAGTGGTCATCCCCATAGCAACACCTCGGGAGTCGGATGGGAGATGGGTCCCAGGTCTGGTGGCCTTGCAATGTGTCCTCCTGTCTGAAGGCCCCCGAGGAAAAGGCTCTTCAGTGCAGTGATGAGAGCAAATGCCAGAGGCGTGAAAGTGTCCTGAGGGAGGCCCAGTCCAGGGTGGTTGGAACAACGGGACCTGGTGGAATGTGACTGGCTGGAAAGTGAGAGGGAGGGTGGGTCAGAGGAGGCACTGACTTCCCAGTGGAAGAGTCTGGAATTGATGCCACCCACAGTGGGGTGCTGGAGTGGCTCTCGGTGAGGGTGGCACTGGACACACACTCTTCGGCCCTGTTTTCATGTAGATAAAGTAATATGTGGTTTTGGTATGTGGTAAAATCCAGGTGGTGTTGCAAGAAATCATTGCAAGAAATCATGAAATAGTAGCCGAAGACTTGCATAGAGAAGAAGATAAAGTATCTCTCCCTTAATCCCCAAGTGCATTGGGGGGGTTGTAGAGATGGATTGGAGAGATGTGTGATGAATATATGAGCCTCTCATCTTTTTTTTTTAAGATTTACTTATTTATTTTAGGGAGGCAGGGGCAGAAGGAGAGAGAGAGAATCTCAAGCAGTCTCCCCCATTGAGCATGGAGCCCTACACGGGGCTTTATCCCCCGACACTGAGATCACGACCTGAGCTGAAATCAAGAGTCTGATGCTTAACTAACTGAGCCACCCAGGCTTCCCAACCTCCCATCTTCATTGCACCAAACTATAGCAGAGCCAACTCCTTCTACGTCTCATTCATTCATTCATTCATTCAGCAAACATTTACTGGATGCGATTCTATATAAGGAACGGACCTAGCTGCTGGGATACAGTGGTGAAGATGATGTCTCTGTCCTCATGTGCCTTAACTTCTGGTGGGGAGATAGAGAATAGCTGTGAAGGGAGTTCTCCCTCTGTAAAATATCTTGAAATGCTGGATAAAACATAATAGATATCTTAACATTTCTTTTTTCATTCAAGAAGGCTGTGGTTTGGAGAGGGACAGACGTGCACACCAGCAATTAGGATGCAGTGTGGTCATTGTTACCATGAAGGGCAGCAGAAGGCATCCAGTGAGAATCAAGGAAGGAGCACCTGAGTCCATCAGGGGGAATCCAGGGAGGCTTCATGGATGAGACGATACTTAAGTGACAACTTGATGAGTAGGAGTGCCAGGGAGACAGCAGGAAGAAGGAAAGATAGAGACAGAATAAAGAGGAGGGGAGGAGGAGAAGGAGGAAGAGAGGAAGGAAAGACAGTAACCCAGGAGAGAACATGGGGGAGGATGTTCCCAGAAGAGTGAGTTCCCTTACAAGACTAAATAGGGGAGCATGTGAGTGTGGGCACTCCCAGGAGTTGATCCTGGTTGGACTGCTAAGCAGGGGTCTGATCATGAAGGGCCTCATGGGTCAAACTCAGGAGCTAAGATTTATTCTGTAGGCAATCTGGAGCATGAGTATAAGGTGAGGACTGCTCTGTGTTGAAGTGCTCGCTCAGCAATGAGAGACTCCCAGCCCCATTCCAGGAGCTGGGAGAGATTGTGGAACCCTAAAATACACATGGAGTCCTCATATAACAACACTCCTTAACCGGAGATTTCTGACCCCAGGGACATCTGGCAATGTCTGAAGATTTTTTTTTTTCTGTCACAAATTGGTGGTGGTGGGGAGAGAATTGCTACTGGCGTCTAATGAATAGAGCCCAGGGATGCGGTTAACATCCTATAATGCATGGGGCAGGCCTCACAATGAAGGATTGTCTAGTCCCAAGTGTGAATAATGCTGAGGTTGTGAAACCCTATCACAGAGGGAGCAGACCAAGTGTAGAAGGAATCTCGATCATTAGTGCTCTTTCAGCAACTCTGGTAAGCACTTACTAGTGGAGAACACCTGTATTTTCCTACATTTTCTGTATCTTCCTGATTACCCTTACTTTTGTCAAAACACCCTGCACTCTGCCTTCACAGGGCAAATCATAATGTATGATTTTGTAATTATTATATAAACACATACCATATAATACATAATTTGGGTGGTTTTTGTTTAATATCTGCCTCCCTTCTAGACTGAAAGCACCATGAGAAAAAGGCCACTTCATCTCCCCCAGCGCCAGACATCGGCTCTAAGGCGGAGCATATTGTTAGCACTCAGTAGGATGTGCTAATAAATAGAGGGTTCTGGTAGAGGGGCAGGGAGGATGAGACATGTGAAGCTGCCAGAACAACTTAGACCACAGCAACCATAGAGACGGGATCAGTGCTCATCTTCATGGAGGCTGGAACTGATTTGAGTTTGAGGCTTCAAGTGGGGAGAGAGGCCTTCCAGCCCAGGCTGGTGGGCTGACTCTGCATGTGGTGCTCCCCTCCCACTCAGCCTGGATACTGAGCAAATGAGGGGGTGCATTTGGACTGGGGAATTTCTGCCAACCTTGCGGTCTCCCTCCCACCATCCCACCCACACCCTGCGGCCGCTTGACAAAGCATCTGCAGAAGCATCCCTGCTGGTTGCCATAGAGAAAGGAAACGCAGGAAGCGAAACATAGGGATCATCCAGGAATGACTGTGCTGCAGAGGAGTCCCTGGACCATGTGGGTTGTGGTGCTATTCCCGATGGCCACGCTACCAAAACGACCCAAGCATTCATCAACTGATGAACGAATAAAGAAAATCCTGCCATTTGCAAAGCCATGGATGAACCCTGGGGGACGTTATGCTAAGTGAGATGAATCAGTCATAGGAGGACAAATACTGCATGACTCCACTTGCACGAAGTACCTAAGACCGTCAGTAACAGACATAGAGAATAGAATGGTGGTTTCCAGGGGCTGGAATGGGTGTGGGGAATGGGGTGTTGCTGTTCAATGGGTATAGAGGTTCAGTTATGCTAGAAGAGTAAGTTCTAGAGATGGGTTAAATAACAGAGTCGCTATACTTAACAACTGTACTGTGCTCTGTAATATTTGTTAAGAGGGCAGAAGTCATGATAATTGTTTTCACTACAAACACACACAGGTACGCACAGTGGGACACCGGGAAACTCCAGAGGGGTTGGATATTCCTATTGCCTCAATTGTGGTGATGGTACCACAGGGGTTTGCACCTGTTCAAACTCATCACATTTACACGTCAAATATGTACGATTTTTTGTATATCAGTTCTAACTCAATAAAGCCATTAAAAAAAGAGAAGCCTATCTGGTCAAATTCACGTGGAAGTGAGAAAACGCTGAGAACTTTCATGGCTGATTATTTCTTCAAGATTGACACTTCACTAAAATCTGTAGAGATGTGGATGGGAAACGTGTGAGAGCAGTAAAAACGTCCCTGTGTGGCTGCTTGAGGCTGCTTTGTTGAACTTCTGGCTTTTTTTTTTTTTTAACTTCTGGCTTTGCAGTGGGAGCTGGATGAACTAAAAACATGTCCTATGTGGAGTACTAGAATATCACACAGAATTTTCTAGAAGACACAGAATTAAAGATGGAAACTACAAAAAAAATCACAAGGAATGATCAAGGAATGCTCATCTGTGGGGAGATATGGTTTGTCCCCAATGTATACTTTCCCTACCTGACATTTAATTTTTTTAAAGATTTTATTTATTTATTCATCAGAGACAGAGAGAGAGGCAGAGACATAGGCCGAGGGAGAAGCGGGCTCCCTGTGGGAGTCCGATGCAGGATTCGATCCCAGGACCTCAGGGTCATGACCTGAGCCAAAGTCAGATGCTCAACCACTGAGCCACCTGGGCACCCGACATTTAATTTTTGTCTCCAACCTTAACAATAAACGAGAGGATCTCGATGCAGGTAACATTTCAGCAAATAGCCCTTTTGTATCACATTGGAAGATGGTAATTCTATTCTATTTCTCCTGATTTATTTAAACTCCATCTAGCTTACTTCTGTTTTAAAAGGGTCTATTTCTTCCAAGCGTATTTCCATACCCTTGCATATAAAATGGGCATTATTGTTTGCCATGGAGGGAAACATAAAGCCACATAACAGATATTGCCATCAAAAATATTTATAGGAGAGGCATCAGCTCTGGAGAAAACCACAGAACTCAAGCTGGAAAGCCTTGCCTGAGGTGTCCTACCTCTCTTTCCTGGGCCTGGGAGGAGTGGAACGGGCACTACTGATCAGTCCTGTCTGCAAGAATGCTTTATCTTCTTTCAGTATGACTCACAGGCTCTGGGAATGTCTCCCAAACTGCAGTCCCAGGGTCTGGGGAGCTGCAAAATGCCATGGCTAAAAAATGAATTGCAGCTGATGAGGAAGGTGTCTAGACACAGCTGCAAAAGGGGTGAGCTAAGGATAAAATAGGCAACCAATAAAAATCCTTTTTAGTCTGAAAAATGAGGCACGAGAAAGTCAGGGGAAGTAAGTTTTGATTGCATCCCTTGCCCAGAGAGAAAACAGCAGAACAATTTAATTTTGAATTCTTCTTGAGTCTTCTAACGAGGCGACATTTCCAGAGAAAAATAAATTGCTGATAAAAGTCACGGGGCCTTGGGTAAATCCGGAAAACAAGAAGTCTGGGGAAGATTTGATTACAGTTGACAGCAGAGATGAGGGATTTCAAAGTCCTGTGTGCACCCGGTTTGCCTAATTACCGATTTTGGAGGGGGGTGGTTTGATTTGTTATATTTAGAAGATATTTGGAAACCATGGGAATTTTAGCAAGATAGCTCATCCTCGTGCAGCACTGCTGTGGTCCAATTGTTTTACAATTGTTTGGACATGTTTCCAGGAGGCAAACTACGGGAAAACTAGATGTTAATTGTTGAATATGTGAAACATTGCCCTTAGAACACCGGTTTCCAGACTTCCAGCATCTAAGCATCATTTTCCTGATTTTGGCCATATCCCAGAGCCTGCTTACCCTTAGCCATTTTTAATATTATCTTTTACGTT